ATTAATCTTATTCAAATATGACACATGTTATATTTTATATAGGTAGGAAGATAACTAGAATAAAAAAGTAGAAGGATATATTTTTTTTGTGCACCTCTACCAAACATGTGGACATGTATAAGTTCAATGGTTTCACTCCCATTTTATCCATATTCTGGAACATTTTAACTCATAGCTTTAATATAAATTGTGATTTTATAGTTTTTTAGATAGTTTAGTTCGATTAATTATTTTTTATCTATTTTTTGTTCAATTTAAGTTTCCGTTTGATGGTTTTTAACACCCATGCATGCATATATCAAATTATATCATGGCGTAATGTTTTTATGAAGTTGGATCAGGCATGGAGCTATTCGTATTCCACTTATTTTGCTTGATTCAACACAAGGTACTACTACTCATCCATTAAGCTCACAAACAAAGCAACATTGCTCAAAAAAGTTTAAGAAAACAGCTTCTTTCCCTAATCTTCCCCCCATAATATATGCTAGTTTCTTTTCTTTTTTTACATTTAATGTTATTTTGTTTTCTCTTCACTTGGAAACCACTATTCTGTTGCTTATTCAAAATCAAAACCATTGTTGATTGAAAAATGTAAGCCCCCATAAACCAAACAAGAGAATTAAAAGGATTATATTACAAAATATGAGGAAAAGTAGAATGAAGAAAAAGAAAGTTATAAAATTTATGGATGGATTGACAAGATATGATTATGTATGTGCACAAGGCAGGCCTAATGTAATGGCTATATACTTTACAGTTACAGATTACAATGTTGCAGTTGCATGGATGGATTCTTTGTACACAAATATACAACTCATTAGTCATTAGTCACTCTCACAAACCAAAAAAGGTGAAACTCAGGATTAAGTAAGTTACTGTGCACTAATTCCAATCCCCTCTGTATTATTATTATTATTATTATTCATTCATACCATTTACTAGGATTCTCAGGGTAGAAACTGTCAACTTGTAGAGATACAAGGCTATCCGTCTCCATATTCATATTCATATTGGGCTTTATTAATTTGGAGTCGCTGAGTATTATAGCCTTTTCATCAAAGCAGCTGCTGCTGCATTTCAGCCATTTTTCAGGTTTACATAAAAGATCCTTTTCATCCCAAGAACAAGAAGCAACATCTCCAAGTGTTTGACCAAAACTGTCATCATCGTCTTCAATTAAATCTGCTGCATCTTTTCCATCACCATAAATCCTTTGATGATGGCTCCAATCTCCTAAATCATTCTCTCCCACTCCCACCAACACATGATCATCATCAGACTGCAGCTTCTCACAAACCAAATCTCCTCCTCCTGATTTTGACTCCTCATATCCCCCTACACTTCTAACTTTATTCAACAAATCAAACAGTTCTTGTGAAACTGAACCTAGCAGCTCAGGGGGTATTTTTGTCATTTTCCCTTCCAGCAACCCTACTTCATTTCTCAATTCTTTAACTTGCTGCAACACGGATCTTTGCATATCACCATCATCTTTCCCCATGAATGAAAAACTCTCTTCTTCACTCATTCCAAAAACCATGTCTTGTTCCATTAATAACCCTCCTTTATGCCCAACAATTCTGTGCATTATTCTTGCATTCCCATCTAATGGCCCTGGTTCATGCCCTGAATGCACTGCATACAGCTTAAACACAGCTATTCCTTCTTCTTCATAAACAAAAGTTTTGTCTTTTTCATTGTAATTTGAAATGGGGACAATTGCTCTTATTCGAAATCTACATCCACATCGTTTTGAAGCATAAGCTTCTCTTTTCAAGTTTCTTGATTTCTTTGAGGAAGATGCAGGTTCCCCTGCTCTATGACATGCATAATCTTTCACCTCTGCCATGAAAGGTTTATACCTAATGTACTTTTGCCTAATACACAAAACAACCTTGTGTTTAGCTGCCAATTGTTGCAGCTTGTTTGGCACCTCTTTTGCTGGGACATCGAATGATTCTGTGTATTCAAACCTACGCCTTTTAGAACGTGCCGCTGCTGAGCCACTTGAATCGAGACAAACAGGACAGGCAGCTACACAAACCCTAATGTACGATTCAGGTATTCCGTAGAATTTAGCACCTACAGTCCAAACTTGTTTGATTCTCTCGATCGTCTCCTTTAACCCTAGGTGTTTTAGATCACCGTCACCATGAAAGCTCATGACTATTTCTTGCCACTGACTAATATGCGAAACGAATTGATTATTCGAATTGTTCTTGAAGCATAGGAATTCGTTACCTTGTTCGCCGACGTGAACTGTAAGCTTTTCCTGAATCCGCTTCCAAGCCGTCAGGTACGCTGTGTCCTCGTTACGGTCCTTCCACACCGACCGCCAGCTAGTGAGCACGGCGAGTGGCGTCGCCAGTCTGATCTCATCGGGAGTCGCGAGACGGCCTTCTAGGATACACCGGATCATCAAGGAGTGAGACTCGATGTTAAATGTGTAGAACTGAGACGATATATGAGGCTCCGGGTTAATGTATTGAAACCTAGGGTTTGTTTTATCAGACGAAATAGCATCGTTGGTAAAAGATGGAACACCTTCTGCGTCAGAAGAGGTATGGCTGATGGAATCATCCTCATCGTCATCACGAAAGAAGTCGAATTCCGACATTGGAGGCAGAGAAAACTCCGACGGCGGCTGTTGCTCCTCCTGGTGGTCATGGTGATCTAAAATCGATGGCTGAGGATCGCCGATTGAGTCATGGTGATCTAAAATCAACGGCTGTGGGTCGCCGATTGAGTCAAGGTGATGATGAAAGAGATCTTCTTCAACTTTGCTTGCATTCATGATCTGTTGTTGCCTGAAATTGATCTCGGAAGCTTCAGTCTGTCTACTCGGACATGAGGAGGTTTTGTAGACTCCTCTCAATCGAATTTAAAAAGGAAAAAACAAAAGACTTTCTTCCCCCAAGGCCCCAACTCACCTTTTCTTTTCTGTAGAGCGAGAGTATTTTGTAAAGGTGACAAAAGTAAAAGGGTTATACGGTAGTTTTTAAATATTAAAATACTAAAACATATGTAAGTTTCAAAAATAAATTGACAAATAAAAATTATAAGTTTTATCTTTTTTGGTTGAAGCCTATGAGCTTATGAGTTTATAAGATAAAAAAAAATATTTTGATTAATTTATTTTTATAAAATGACGAAAATTATGTAGTGTTTGAAAAAGAAAATTTATTTAAGGTTGAGGGTAAATGTAGCACCATGTTTTGAGGGGTTTCATAATTCGAGGTCGTGACCCGAATATCAAATATCATAAGGCTTTGGGCTTTGGGAATTGAGGTTTAGACCCATTTAGAAGTGAGTAATGTAGATTATATGATCCAGGAGTTCGGTTTGTGCTGTGGAGCCCAAAGGCATAATGGTAAAAGTGATGCTTCAGACCTTTTATTTAAATTAAGGATTTTAGTTCGATGTGTTTTAATTCAAAAGTAATTAAATAGGGTTGTAGACCTCTTCTTTACATTTCTTTGGATATAAAGATCGCCGAAAACGGAGTTGGAACGAAGAAGTTATGGCATGCGGAAGTTAGGAGGATTATGGGTCAATCTAGTACGTCTAGTGTACGCTGGGCATACTGGACTAGGTGATCGCAAAGTGTTTAACTTGGTACGTTGGGCGTACGACCGCCAGGTGCAAACCCTATTTAGGGTCTTGGACCCTATTTAAATGTAGCACCCGGTTCCTGGTACGTATTTAATTAAATAAATTCATGTGTCTTCTCTGGGACTCAACGAGTTGGTGGCTGATGCGACATCGACCTCCGGCGGTTCTTCTGGTCTTCTGCTGCGGCGGAGATCTGACATCACAGTGCAAAGTCGTTAGAGCCGTCCCAGGGACTGTGCCCCGGGAGCGGACTCCGACGGTCAAGTTAGATCAGCTAGAAGATCTGAGATGGTCTCCCAATAGCTGGAGGGAACCATCTTGGTGCTAGTGGTGGTGTATGGTGGCTGACGGCGGAGGGTGGCGGCTGAGCCACCTGGCCGGAGTATAGTGGTGGCTGAGCCAAAGGGAAGGATCCTCCTCCATGGAGGAGGTACTGTTCATTATATATGGGACAATTAGGTCAGGCCTTGGGCCAGCCTAAATTCAGGCCCAGCTAGCAAGGAGCTGGGCGAGGCCGCCCGGAGGCGCCGGGCGGCGCTGGCCGGCGCGCCCCAGGAGAGGATGGCAAGGGAGTGCTAGGCGAGGGAGCGCCTAGCCGAGCCAGCAGGAGAGTCCCCAGCAGGGCTGGCAAGGGAGTCCCCAGCAAGGCTCGCAAGGGAACGCCAGGCAGGGCTGGCAGGAGCGCACCAGGCCAGGTTGACACGCTAGAGCAGTCTAGGCCATGCCAATGGACCATATATCATCAAGTCCCCCCCAGTCTGGTGTTATTGGTACACGGCCAATGACATCGGACTGGACTTAGTCATATAAACTGTGCGTCGTCAAGTCCCCCTAGTCTGATGCGATTGGGTTGCTGACAATCGGATCGGACTAGATAAAGCACCAAAGCATTAAATAATAAAGAGAATGACCGAACCTCGCCCACGAGAGCCGTGGGGTTGTGCGATTAGCCAAGCATTGCTTATGTAGCTTGAGATGACTTGATACTCCTTCACTGAGAGGAGTGTGAGCTGATTAGTGTGATGCAACGTAACTGTTGCTGCGATCATGCGGCCCGAGGCTGCTAAAGAGTGTTACGCGACACTGATGTCGATAAAATGTCTGGTCGGGGTAGCTAAGAAGCGTAACATCGCCATACAGTCCCTGAGACTGTTATCCGACGTGATTGTTGTGGTAGCCATGCGAGATGGGATGTCACCAGTAACCATCTACATAGTCTGCATCAATAACCGTCTTGAGGGTCTTTCTTGCTCGGGCTACACCTAGCTGGATTCCCCCCAGTCTGATGTGGGTAACGTAGGTAGCCGTGTCAGACTATGTTGTCAAACCAATAAACCATAAGGTTGTTGACCATAATATAAGTGGAAGGGATTCCGAGAGCTGTGCGATTAGATTGCTAGCGAGGGTCACATAGCGAGATTATTGTCGATAGCCAGACAACAGAATTCTAGAGGAACAGGTAGTGAGGCCATAGGTAGGAAACATGCAGTGAGACTGTTGCCGAGAGCCAGGCAGCAAAGGTGCTAAGGGATAAGTGATGAGGCCAGAGGTATGGGTTGCGCAGCAAGACTGTTTCCGAGGGCCAGGAAACAGAGGTGCTTTGGGATACGCGACGAGGCTACAGGTAGGGTTGCACAGCAAGACCGTTTCCGAGAGCTAGGAAACAGAGGTGCTTTGGGATAAGCGACGAGGCTACAGGTAGGGTTGAACAGCAAGACCGTTTCCGAGAGCCAGGAAACAGAGATGTTGTGGGGTACACGGCGAGGCTACAGGTAAAGTTGCATAGCAAGACCGTTTCTGAGAGCCAGGAAACAGACATGTTGTAGGGTAGTAGGCAGCAGGGCCGATGCCGGGATGACCTCCTTGCTGGAGAGTAACCTCACTATAGCAGGTTGTAATGTAGATAACACTTCATCGATCGTCCGAGCACAAAGAGAACCATGATGACTGTGAGAGAGGAAGCACCGAGATCATGGTGTTAGTCATGGAATAAGCTTGTGATGCGCGACTTATGATGCGCGACGATGCGCGACTTATGAGAATAGCTCGGGCTTAGCAGCCAGCGAACATGGAGATGTCATGCGGGAAAGCATCGTATAACAGATCGGGTTTGGCTGCTAACGATCATAGATAGATCACGCGGAAGAGCGTTGCGTGGAATGGATCGGGCTTGGCTTCCAGCGATCGTAGATAAATCACGCGGAAGATCGTCGCGTGGAATGGTCGGAGCAAGTTGCTATAGTGGAGTCGGGCTGAGAAACCAAACGAGTCAAGGCGAGGGTGTTGAACCTCGCATGCAGAGCTTGCCGCTATAATAGAGTCGGGCTGGGAAGCCAGACGACTCGAGGCGAGGGTACTGAACCTCGCATGCGGAGCTTGCCGCTATAATGGAGTCGAGCTGGGAAGCCTGACGACTCGAGGCGAGGGTACTGAACCTCGCACGCGGAGCTTGCCGCTATAATGGAGTCAGGTTGGGAAGCCAGACGACTCGATGCAAGGGTACTGAACCTCGCATGCGGAGCTTGCCGCTATAATGGAGCCGCTGAGAAGCCAGACGACTCAAGGCGAGGGTACTGAACCTCGCATGCGGAGCTTGCCGCTATAATGGAGCTGCTGAGAAGCCAGACGACTCAAGGCGAGGGTACTGAACCTCGCATGATTGGGCGTAGCACCCTACAATTTATGTGTCTAGCTCGTGTGATAAGGCTGGGTTAAAGCGGAACGGTACCTGATGCTTTGTTGCATCGCTAGTCGTACTAATAAATCATGCCTCGTTGTCTTGGCTGTTTGCGGAGAGCTATGTGGCGGTGTTACTTAGGGCTCGATAGTGTAGCTATTGTCAAGTGGTGCGTAGCGAGACTGCTGTCAGGAATTGGTCAGCAGGGCCGTTGAGGCCCGGGCAGCGAGCTGCTAGCGATAGGTGAGTAATACGACTATTGAGAGTTGGACCACGCGGCCACTCTTTCAATCCGGAATACCAACGTCACCTCGAGGATACACCATCATTCATGGTATCAGCTCTTTATGTACCTAAACTCTTCCCCTTGGGAATAAAAAACACTTCTACATAGTGTCGTACCAACACTATTCCCCCCCTTCTTTTTTTTTCTTAGAGGGGGCGAAGAAAAAGGGAAATATGGATGTACAACTGCTGAAAGCTGAGATACATAGCTGCTGGAAAGAGCTAGGCGACACAAAGTGCTAATGAAAAGCGGATAGCACGGTTGCCAAAAGTTAAGCAGCGCGATTGCGAGATGTCGGCCAACACGACTGATGAGAGCTGAGTAGCGAGACTGTATGGAGCTGGCAACGCGGCTTGTGACAGTCGGGCAGCGCGGTTGCTAAGGATTATTTCGAAACGTTTCACGAGTACTATTAATTTACTACTCTTCTCCCTCTTTTTTTTTTTTTAAACGTTGAGTAGATTGGACTATAAAACATCTTCTAAAATCGAATTATGTTGGACGAAGTCATATTACTTGAGACTGATAGGCCAATTTATTCTTCAAAAATTCGTGTCATTTAATCCTTTAAGGCAGCCCCAATGTTGAAGTATATGGGAAACTCAAATAAGGTGCTATAGCCCACATGCAGCCCATTAGGGTGTATGGAGTTGTAAGCCCACATACTCTATATTTTTTTGTTTGAAAGCATCGGCCCACGATGTATATTCTGAAAACATTTTTGCTGAGCGGGAATGTAGCACATGAGTACTGAGTAGTTTTTTCTTTTTTTTTTGTAAAATTGGGTATTTTTTCTGTTGGTGGAATAGCCCAAGAACATAAATGAATTCTGGCAGCCCAATGATATGAGACCATATGAGAAAACGACCCAATAAATGTTAGCCCATTTATAGGTTACCAGCCCAGCTCCTTCCTATCTTTTTTTGTTGTATGTGCGGATCAAACTGAACCCTAGCATCACTTGTCACGATCCCAAAATAAAATGCACGACTGGAGATGGCGCCCTCTTCTTCGGAACTCGCCGGATATGGAGGAAAACCGGGGCTGCGAGTTCGCCGGCAGCGCCAGATCCGATGGTCTTCAGTTGAAGGCTATCAGTCGCTAAGAGGATGTGGTGGTTAATTGGTCACAGGGGCGCAACGGTTGAAGGTCGACGACGACCTTGGTGGTCTTTCGTCTGAGAGTTATCGACTGGGAAGGAATGTTGGAACTACATCGT